TTAATTAATAAATGTCAAATATCGTCGCCCCATCGCGCCTTTATTTATTTATTTGTCTGATTTGTAAAAATTTTCCTATTCATTTTTTCCGTGTCTCTGCTGTGGCATTTCATTGGAAAATTGATTTTGTTTTCCCTGCGTTGTAATGGGGCGACACATGATAACAAAAATTTTGCTGTGTGAAAAATTGTTTCGAAAGAAGAGCAGAAGCGGAAACATACTTTTGGGCCGTACTCTTTGCAGCGGAAACGGAAGTCAATATTAGTAGGCAGAAAATGTGCATTGGATATTCCGCAAAATTTCCACAAAAACGTACGCGAACAATTTTTGACAATTGCATTCGCAATTATTAATGGTCGATCCCCCCGAACGGATTCTTGTTTTGGTTGTTTTTAGCTATTTTATTTATACAGATGATATCAGGAAATCAATTTTGGCTAGAATTTATGACCCAAAGGCAATGCCATTGCCGGTCGGTGTGCGGTTTTTGAAGGTAGATAAATGGAAATTGCTTTCTGATTAGGTGCTATAACAATTGCTGAAAATAAAATTGCAGTCACGGGGGTGGTTTGTAGAGTATTTTTTTGGTTTAGAAAATGAAATTTTGAGGGATCTAGAATATTAGGATTTAACGATTTCGAATTTTGAAGAACCAATCTCATCGATTTTCCCAGGAAATCTACAAAGGGGAAAACTTTTTGAGATCCTGCTGGTATTTTTCTAGTATTTTCTGGTATATTTTCTATATATATGTATATTTATCTGGTATTTTTTTTAAATTTCTTTCTGGCAATCCTTTTCGTATTTTCTCACATTTTCTGATTTTTTATTGAGTCTTTTATAGTCGATTTCTAATATTTTTTGGTAGTTTTAGAGTATTTTTTTTATTTTTTTTTTATAATTTTCTGGCATTGTTTAAGGGTTTGTTCTATAATTTTTTTTTTTCTGGTAATCATCTAGTATTTTTTCAATTTTTGTATAATGATTTGCCAGCATTTTTCAGTATCTTATCTTGCCCTAGATTTCAGTACATATAATGGAGACACTAAAATGGCTAACCAGACTCCTTTCAAAGCTCAACAGATCTCAAAATATCCACAAAGGGTTTCCATGCCACTTTTCGCACCTCCTGCAGCAGCACTCCCCGTTTACATGGCCATATTTCCTCCTTTTCTAATCCTTTATCGAACCCTTTTTACTGCATTGACAAATTCCTGTAGCCCCTCTCGCTATCACTTTTATGGGGGATACAACGTCAAAAAGTCAGTCATTAAACACGTGAACGATCCGGGCCAAAAGCGACGGCTTTAACGACTCCAAGACGATGTGGCAGTCGCTTTGATTGATTGCCCGATGGCACCGCGATTTGAGGACTGTTAACTCGTATCACACTTTAAATTTAAAAATACTTGTACACCGCATCGTGGGCGATAAGTAAGAGGGCCATAAATACATCACGCGAAAAGAATTTCTTATAAGTTGTAGAATATTTTGTTGATGTGTGTGGCTGGCAAGTGTCAAACATTGGACGACAGGCAGGCATCAAACGCGTGGAGAGACTTATCATTTGCTCATAAAAATGTCAAAACTATCCACACACTGACATTGACTGATGACAGTGCGCCCTGCCTTGCCACACCACACATTCCATTCCATGCCATGCCATCCACTTGGGTGGAAGGTTCCTTTCCTTCCTTGTGTGGCAGGATGCCAATGTTAAATGCTTTCTGTCGGTCCTCTCCTTTCCACAATGTCACATATTCCAGAAGCAGCAGCAGCAGCATTGCCATCATTCAACACGCATCCTCATGTTGAGTGATTCCCATTTCATCCTTTTTTTGCAGGACTCTTTCTGCATTCATCCAACCAACCAACCAACCAACCAACCAAGCATCTATCCATCAATTGAGTGATTCTGAGAGAGAGAGAGAGAGTTGAAGCTCTCTTGAAGCCCCATCATCAACCATAACCAGAGGAGGAGGAGGAGTCGGGCAGGGGTCTCCATGTCTCCATCTGTGTGTCATGATTCATGGCTTCGATTGAATTTTGATTGACAATATCGCAAGCATTTAAAGTGTCTGTTTCCGCTTTTCTCCGTGTTCTATGAATATTTTTTCTCCACCCTGCAAGGAGCCCATGGAGCGAGAAGCGAGGAGTGAAACTTTGACGAGGAAGCCTTTGGTTGAAGTGATTTTAAAAATCATTTGTCATTTGACAGATGAGCATTTGATTGACTTGAATGACTGTGGATATATCACACAAGTTGTGTATCTTAGTCGGGGCCAGGGATAACGATGTGGATAACAGATCAATTAAGTGAATGATTGGATGGGAAAACTGGGCTAAAATAGATAGTTCTTTAATTTACTAACCAATAATGGACTTTCCCAAGTAATCTTTAATTTAGTAAAGAAATACAACCCTTTTGATATGTGTGTCATCCACTCCCCCGCCCCGCCCCGCCCCCCACTCTCTGCGAACGTACACATCAATTAGCGATAAGATCCACCACCTCCAATTCTGCTCTAGCTGTGGGGACCCCCGATTTTTGACTTATTTATGAGGCGTTACCAATTCCAATATGAAATCAGAGCAATTTGAGTGATTACCTGTTTGACAATTTTGGAGATTTATGAATCGATAAATAATGCCTGATAAGAATAAAAGAAATATTAGTTTAGATAGAGATGAATGTGGAATTCCCATTCGTCAGAGCTTCTCTAATGGAGAAATTCCATCCCGGTTTGTCTCAAAAACTCTTTGCTGTTTTCCACTACGATTTTTTTCCATCTGCTTTTTTTTGGTTGGTTTAAATCAACATGTTGAATTCTCATTTGAGCAAAAATTCACTTGTCAATTGCCACCACAGGCGTGGTGTTCATGGCTTAATTTTTTTTTGCAACAGTCACGCACTTTTTCGGGTGGGCATGCATCACGAGGCGGGCATTTCAATTTATTCCTGTCAACGGGGACGGCGACGGCGACGGCGATATTCGGTGAGAAAATGCTGTCCATTTTAGGACATTTTTGCATTAATTGAAAGCGAGTTTTCCACCCAGCAAACCAAATGGTTTTTAATTATTTTTTTTTTTAATTTATAATTTTTTGAAACAAGGATCAGGCAGGAGCCCCCACCAGTCCCCATGGGTTCCGCTGGATTGTCCGCAGTTAAATAAATTGCAAATTATTACGTATTTTGGTGTCGGTTGTTGTTCCTTTGTGGCATTTATTTTAATTTTAATTCAATTGCATGTCGCTCATCTGCGACTCTCTCTCTCTCTCTCTCTCTCTCTGGCCCTGTGGCGCCTCACCTTTCTCTGTCCTGTGGCGCTACCATTCGACCGTTGGACTCTTCAAATAAACTGACATTTTGACGCAAATTATCCGCTGCGGGCGATGGCCACGGCCAGGAGCCCAAAAGCATCCCTAGACTGACTTTGAGGCTTAATCATTTGATAAATGAAAAAGGATTTTCCACTCTTCTGTATTTAATTTTCATTCAGCAATGCAAAGGCATCTGGAAATTATGGAAGTCCTACGAAATTTAAAGCAACATTGGAACGTAAATCGTATAAAAAAACAAACACAAAATTATAAACCAAACAAAAGAAGAGACGAAACACCAAATGAAATATCATAAATTCCATTGAACGAACGCCATTTGATGAGAATAAATATCAAAGCTCATAAACTCCAAAGCTAAAGCCAACAACAATCGGGGACTGGGGGAAATCGGGGCATTACGGCCGACAACAGATTCAGATCTAAAAAAAAAAAGGCCAAACCACCAGCGGACCAGCGAGACCGGAGGAGGTGGAGAGCATCATAAACCATTTGACATTTTATCAGTTCGTCAAAATTCGTGAAATGAAACTGAAACTAAATCAGAGAATGGGAGGGGGAAGGGAACGGGAACGGCACAGTGTGGTGTAGATAGAGATGGGAGTCAATGAAACGTCTCACTAGTTTTAAATATATACATATTAATAAATGAATAACGGGGTTTCCTTCCTTCCTGGTTGTATAAATATACCATAGGCGAACAGATATACCTACATAAATTCGAATGAAGCGAATATAGGGTATTCTCCAATTTAGAAATACATACACCCATACATTTTTTAGTATTAAATATGTATAAGTAATCTATTATGTAGTAACTCTGGTATTTTAAATATTAAATATTTAAGGCGTATCAATAATTTGGAGATTCTTGTTTTTTTCAATTAAGCAGCGATTCTGTTCACTTTTACTATGCAACTCCACAAAATTTGGACAAATTGATCTATAATGCAGTGTTTTTATTAGTTTTTAAGAGTATATATTGTTGATTTGTACAGCATTACAGTTCTTTTCAATAAAAACATCGGACTAAATGGATTAATATTTTAATCGATTTAAAAAAAAAACTTTTGAAGTTTCTTTAAAATTACCAACATATTTTCATTATTTATAAATAAATGTTTTAAATTAAAAATTAATATTAATTAATAGATTAAATAAATTAATAATAATTAATAAATCAATAAATTAAGTTTTCATATTTAATTTTAAAATTTAATATTCTTATAAATCAATTAACTATTTTCATATTTAAATTAAATATTTTCATATTTATATTAAATATTTTCATGTTAAGAATTATTATATGTTATTATTATATAATTAATTAATATATATATAATTATAGAAGGGTAGATTAAGTAGGCCGAGTCGGAGTTGACAGTTTGTTCAAAACCGGACCTAAATTCTCTCGGAAATAAAGCCTACTCCGTCTCCGTTCCCCAATCCGGAATCCGGACCCTCTACCACAAAGAGCACTGCCAATGTAACTCTTCGTGTCACGCTTCCATCTCTAATCTGAAACATGTTTTGGATGGCTCTGGTGACTCGTTCTGTTCAGGTGATAATTTTGTTGCCTACGGAAACACCAAGAAATTTTGAAATGTTTTATTGTAATTGCTGCCATGGAAGATCCCCAAGTATTCACAGATAAAGCCTTTCAGAGTTCGACCAATGGTTTTAATTGATGGAAAAGTTCTTTAGTTTGGACAATAGCAATACATTTTGATGCTCGTCTCGTTGACACAGAAGGACTGACTGCGATACTCATTCACTCGCGTGATGGGACCCGTCAGATGGAAGGTGTCCGTGAGCCGTGCCGTGCCCTCGAAGAGTCCATCCCCTGGGATGGTGCTCACCCGCAGCCGCAGCTCGTAGACGAAGGAACTCTCGCCGAGATCCACGAAATACGCAAGCATCACCTTGTAGAGCCGCAATTGTTGGCATTTCTCGTGGGGGCCGATAATTTGATTGATGGAAGCGATGAGGAAACGAGCAGTACGCAGCACAATGCCATCGTCGGTGGGGATTTCCGTGAGATCGGTGCAGGGGCAGTAGTGCGATGGTATGCCAGCCGATTCGCAGTTCCGTTTCAGGGGCAGCGGCAGAAAGAGACTCACGCCACGCGGCACCTTCTTGGGGGGATAGCCACGCAGTACATCCGTTCGATTCTCCACATGCTGGTTCTTCAGAAGATTCAGATCCATCACATCCTTGAGGGTAGCATGCAGATCGAAGGCTGTGACCAGGTTGTGGGCATTCTGCTTGAAGTTGTCCATGGCAAAGGGATATTTGGCCTTTAACCAGTCGGGATATATGGCCACAAGAAAGGGCTGCGACTCCTCCCGCATGCCACTGTACGTCAGGCGATATTTTCCGGAACGCAGTCCATAGTCCGACATGAGGAGCACCAGAGTGTTGTCTAGGATGTCCATCTCCAGGAGACGCCTCAAACGCTTCACGTAGTCCACATCCAAGCGCCGGGCATAGTGATAGTAGTCCTTGACGCCTTGCGAGTGCCAAAAGAACGAGAAAAACGGGGCAGTTTGCATGTAAAACGATAGTTTATCGATGAAATCGTTCAAGACATCGAAAAACTGCCGCCCTCCCGAGCAGTGGATGAGCTCGCTCGCATCGATGCTGTAGCGCGTGTGCTTGTCCATTTCGAGCATCACGGGATGCAGATAAAAGTCCGTCGGTTGTTTGCGGAAACCCGCTCTTTCATCCGTGAAAATGCCCTTGGCGGTGTCCTCTCCATAGATCGTGGAATAGCCAGCATCCTTGAACTTCTCCCAAAGAAGGCCGCACTTATCGTACGTTGATTTATTCGCCGAAAGACATCGTTGTTCCAGCTCATCGCTGCGCAGGCCACTCAATAGGGGAACCACATTTTCATAGGCGTCCAGACCCACGCGACTGTACCCCAGGAAGAACGTGTGTGGCACATAGTCCAGGAAGCTCGTCAAATGTGGGAAATTCCGTTCGAAATGCATCTGAGACAACGAATCGATGCCCAAAATCATGACAGACAAACTTTCACGTTTCTTTTCGTATGGCCGGGGTGTCTTTTCCTCTTCGAACGGCGGTGGAATAAAGAATATAACATCATTGTACTTGACGACATTCTCGTTATTCCGGCATTGAATGCGATACATTTGATGGCCGCACTCCACTTGAATGGGCTCGTTTTCATTGCGACTCAGATTGAACTGCCTCTCCTGAAGGTATTTATTCGAGCGATCATCCTGGCGTTCCATTCGCCAGCATTTGCACTGCAAATCCTCCTCTATATTGCTGGCCTTCAGGTAGTTATTGTCATCCTCATACAGTGGAGAGATCAACTGCGGTCTGCTGCAGCCCATCACGTGAATGGGCTCCACAAATGGCACGGGCTTCTTTGGATGCGCCAGGACACGGACTCGACAGCCAGGCGTATTGATTAGAAAGCGATTGAATATGACTTCTGGTTCCTTGCCGAAAATATTCGCGAGATATTCCAGATTGAACAAGCACATAAAACAGACGGCTAAGAACACCCAAACGAGGCGACGAGGAAACATTTTTTGTTGTCTGATTACTTTTTCACTTTTGACTGAGAACTGGATTTGTTTTTGGGTAGAAAATTGAAAGAAACATTTAAGATAATTCCAAAATCAAGGCCTACTACAACACTTGGAGAAATTTGGAACATTTTTAAAGAGAAAACTAGAAAATAATGGCCTACTAAACTACTAAGTTTTTATGGGAAAATTGTGAAAAAACTAATAAATTTCCGGTCTTCTATAGTCATAGATTTTTGGGAAATTTTTGATGCTGAAGAAATCTTTTTCTTAAAGAAAAAACCTGCAAATATATGACGACTATCCTCAAAGCTTCCCAGGAAATTTGTGACGCTTCAGAGGCGGTACCTGTGCATCGAAAAAAACGTTTCTTTTAGTGTAAGTCGTTGGAATTCAATAAAATTTGGGCATTGCAATGCATTCTATTATTTCCTATCAATTATTGCAATAATTTCGAATGCATTCTGCCATTGAATTAATAATTGGCAGAACAAAAGCTGCCCAAAAAAATTACATTTATCCCGAAAACCAATTAAAAATCCCCCAAAAATGATTAGAAAATAACAATAAATAAATTAAGTCAAACAATTGTTGATCCCACATTACGATAAAGGGGGAGGGAAAAAAGCAAGCAAATAAATTAGCGGAAAAAATTCTCCGTTTTTTTTTATTCTAAATAAATAACGAGCGGGAGAATAACGGTAACGTTAGCACATGGGATTTTTAGGCGCCATGTAAATGCGTGGCCTGTTTGTCCATTTAAATTATAAAATCTAATCACCTTTGTTTAAAATTTAATGAATGCAATAATTTTAGAGGATTTGCAGTCGGAAACCATCAACGATGCGGTATAGGGGAGGGTAGTAGGGGGGTGGAAGGGGTTTGAATGTGTGTTGGATAATTGGCGACAGCCGCCTAAAAGGGCATAAAAATTAAACAAAAACAAAACAAATAAAAACGGATTAAGCGCAGAGAGAAAAAAAACCAAAAAAAGATTATGAAAAAGCATAACAAAAGAATTTTTGAGTTTTATTTGTATTTATCGCTCGCGTATATGCAAATAAGCAACCAACAAATATTTGAATGGTTTCTCCCCCATTCCCCTCACCAAGCAAAATATTCGCATAAAAATCGAGCAATTTATTTAACAAATTATCCATTTTAGCGGCGCTATTTCGCTTTGTTTTGTCAAATGAGGTTAATTTGTGTTTAACCTGACATGTGTGCAGGTCCTTTCCCCCACTCTGTGGGCCCACTCGTCCTCCTTCCGCCCTTTTTGCGGTCTGCAGTGTGGGTAAACGCAGTTTGTGCTTTCGGTGCCCATTGCCAGTGTGGCCAAACGGCAGTTAGATGGCCGTCAACATGCCGCCATTTTACACAAATTGGTTGGCACAATGGAGTCTATAATGGAAAGGAGAGAGGGGCTTAGAGATCAATAAAATAGAAGGGTATCTGCGGATTGTTAAAATGGGCATTCCTGTCTTGCGAAAATATAGTGTTTGGTAATGTTTTGTAAAGATAAAACACTTTTATGTGTCCTAAAATGTATATAAAAGGGATTTACTATAAATACTTTTAAAAACACAACTTTATTACGGCTTTTATAAAGCATTCTTTTGAGAATCTAATCTTATTTAAAATTCAATATATTGATGGGAAATAGTGTAAATTTTTTGTGGAATATTTTATATATATTATCTTTTTTAAACTTCCAGAGTACCTTAGAGAATAATCTCTAAATCTTCGATTAATAATGGTAGGGCGATAATTTATATTATAATTATAATATATATATACCTATAGATTTCTATAAACGACACACATATTATTGTATCTTTGAATCTAAGCTTTGTTTGATTTTTAGAATAATTTCCTAAATTTAACCTCCACTAAACAGACATAGTTTAAGTTGAAATTGTAATATTTTCAATCATATCTTTCATAAACCTTCCCAAACACTTTCCTTTGATTATTCAGAGTTTGTGCCTCGAAAAAAAACGTGTTTTTATACCCGCTACTCAAAGAGTCTAGGGATATACTATAAGTAAATCTCTATATTTGTATATTATTTAGAGAGAGATAATAAAAATACCAAAAAAAGAGAGAGCATAGGCGGCATATCGGCGCCGATGGAGCCTACAACCAAATGGCAGGACCTATATATACATATACATTGATTTCTACAGGTATATATACATTTATATACATTTATCCAATCCAAAATAATTGCAATGGACATGCCAATGGGCGCCCCAGAGAGTGTATGCCTGCCGCATGAGGACGGAGGTCGGAGGTCGTGAGGCCGTGAGGCCTGAGGCCTGAGGTTGAGAAGGCGCAGGTTTTGTTGTCTGGTGTGACGGTGCGTTGACGTTGTCATCAAAATAAAAATTAATTATGCATTCTATGCATTCGCGTGCATTTGAATTGCTTTTGTTGTGTGGGTTTTGTTTGCTGTGTTACTGTCATTTCCCGCACTTTTTCGAGTGCGTTTTTGTGCGTGCGGCACGGGATTAATGTGGCATTAAAGCACAGTGCAGCGTGTCCACCCCGCCCCGTATGCAGTACTTTTTAGCAATCCCCGATTGTGGGAATAACTGTGGGGCAAATAAATTACATATATAATAATTAAGCAACAGCCCCCCCCCCCCCCCCCCCATACTATGGCGGCGGGAGGGCAGTGCAATTTTTGGGGGCACACACACACTGTGGTGGCGCCACACTAAAATGCATTTGTGCATAGGAATTAATTACGCATAATGACAATTTGATAAAATTGAAAAATTACATTTTATTTCAATTGATTTATTGTAATTAAAAATTCTATAAATGTGGCGCCCTGTTTTCTGCCCTGTTCTGTTCTGTTCTGTACAGAATACAATTTTATCAGTTATTTCCATTTGGCAGCATTGTTATTGGATGATTTGTAACCCCCATTGATTAGTCATTGGACAAAAGTATTCGCATAATTAGTCAAACGATATATTCATGGATATATTTATCCAATTTATTCGTTACAGAGAATCAACGACAAAGCAGGCAAATTTTAAACATCAGAAATCAACGAAAAAGTAATCAAATTTAATAGAAGAAAAACATGTGGGATATCTTCTCTTTAAGCCATTGAAAGAAGCCGTACTTTTTGGGTAGAACCACGTCCACAGGAGGCTCAACCTTGACCTCCTCCGGCTCCAACGACAGCTCCAGCTTCTGCTCCTCCTTCTGGTCCGTCTCTTCCTTCTTATTTGGGGTCTCCTTTTTCTGAATGGTAGCCTCCATATCGATGAAAAACGAAGCCGGCAGGTCCGTTCGAGTCACAGTATCGGCCATAGGTGGGCCAGCATCAGTGGCGACAGTCACCTCGTCCATCTGTTCTATGGCCCCAAGAAAGGCCTTCAAGGCCATGGGATTCTCGGGCTTTACGCTGACGCGGATCTCCCCGCCATAGCCAATCTTCTGGCCATCGTAGCTCAAGGCAATCTGACAGTCCACGGTGGTGTGGTACTTCAGATACATGACGTTCGTCTGGGTGAAACCTTTCAGATGGATCTTGCCGATGTCGTTGAAGAACCGATAGACCAGATAAGCCCGTTCAAAAGGGTAACCGCTGATGGCAATCCAGAATTTGTTGAGCTGCTCGCCGGAGTCATCTTTCTGGTCGGTGTCCTCCGTCTCTTGAACAGCAGCCTCCTCCTTTTGGGGTGCACCTTCTGGCTCCTTGAGGACCTCGCCCAAGACTGTCTCCAGCTGCTGGACCCTCTCCTTGTTGACTGGTGTCAAAAATTCATCAGTAGAAGGACTTTTCTTAGGTTCCTCCGAAATGGGATTCATTTTTTAAGTTTTTTTTTATTTTCGTTTCTTTGATTAGTAGAAATTTTAGTTGCTTATGCGCTGGCAGTACAATATCGTATGGGGTTTTAGTGGGTTTTAGTTGGGAAATGAAATTTAGGTTTAAAGAAAAGGTATACTGATGGGGGGAAAATATTTAGAACAGACTTTCAAAAATAAAACAAAATTTCTCACCCAATTAGGAATTCTCTCACATCATGTAAAATAATTATTACTTATGATTTTCCATTTACTTTGATAAATTCACACCAGAAAACAACCTGACAAAGAACGTATAAACGATCCCTGTAAATACCAGAAAAAAACAGAAATTTTCCATTTCCCATAGATAGATCACAGATCATTGGTTTTTATCAGGTCACGATATGATATAGATCTTTGATCTGGTAAGATTTCCACAATTCGCGGATGATTAACACCCGATGGATATCCCGTTTTTAAGTAAAGGATGGAAGATCACAATCCATCAGTTCGCACCTGAGTTTAATAGGGGGGTTCAAAGGGCAGCCGCCGGCACTACCGGCACTACTGGCACTACAACAAACAAATAAACAAATTAGAAACTCATTCGATTGTTAAAATTATGATGAGAACCAGCAAAGAGTACAGGTTCGTCTCCGTTTGAAGTCTCGCCACGGAAGCAGCCGCCTTTAATCTTCGATCGGCTTTATGGCCCCCACAATCGTTGCAACTGAAAGACACTTCCGTGTCGGCCTCCTTTGTGGCACGTTGTGGGTGGCAACACGCCCGGCAGCGGCGCCTCCAAGTCAAGTATTACTTGTATTTATATCATGGCTAATTTTTAATATTTTATTGAGACTTCTGGGCCTTTGAACTTCCCTACGATTGGTGTATCTTTTCTTTTGGGGGTTTCTGGAACCTCTAAAATTTATGTACAATCCCAAATACCTTTCCACAGACGCTGAAGCGATGCTCATAAATTGTTTAAAATTATGCGTAAATAAAGCAAAACCTCGTGTGTGTGTGTGTGTGTTCACCGCCGTTTGATGTTGTTGTTGCAACGCTTTAGTGGTTCTTTTATTTGAGTGGAGGTGGGGTGTGTGCTGTGTGTGGAGCGTGTGGTGGGGTCTTCTTTGGTTTAACCTAAATCATATATTGATATTTAGTATTTCCTCGGGAATCGAAGAGTTTTCGTACACAAATTTTAGGAAGAAATTCATCGTTTAACAGAAAATGGAAATATCTTTGCCTTTGCATCGGAAATTAATGGTACCCGGTACATGGGAATTTGGAATATTTTCCTTTTATTTTCACTCCCATAAAATTATAAAATTCTACATTTTATTTGGAATAATTAAATCTTCCATTGGAGACTCTTTTTGTTCACGCGGGGAAGAGTTGTTCCTGGTGCAGAGCGGGGGGGGGAGTGGAGTGAAGGTTGGAGGTCGTACGTCGACGTCGGCGTCGGCGTTGGCGTCTCTCTGCCGCTAATTTGCCGGTAAAAGTTGCATGCATCGCGTGCTCCATTCTGCATTCGTGTGTGAGTGTGTGTGTGTGTGTGCTGCTTTGTTTGTGTTGGAGCGCGCGCGAGAGAGCGAGAGCGAACGTGAGAGAAAGAGCATCACCAGAGAGAGAGCGAGAGCAGGCTGCTCGCTCTCGCTGTACTTCCCCTTTTGCAGAAACATCTGTTCCATTGCCAGTTTGTTCCACATATTGCCCCGTTATTTCCCCTTATACAGCGTCGCACTCTGATGCTCTCTCTGTGTGCGCTCGCTCTCTCTCTCTCTGTGGTGCGCTCTCTCTCGCCTCGCCTCGCTTCGCTTCGTTTTAGTTTTGTTTCTTTCCCTTTCGCACCAACATTGATAGTGCTGTCTCCCTTATGCACCCAATCGTTGTTTCTTTTTGTTTTTTTTACTTGTTTTATTTTACTTTTGCTTTGCTTTTGTGTTTGAGTGTGTGTGTGTGTGTTAATTGTTGTTGCAGCTTAAAGAGGGGCGGCAGAGGGTGAGCGTCCCATTGTCATATTTTATTCGGGTTTTATTTTTTACCCTTTACCTATTTTTGTCTTTTTTTTTTGGCATAATATCATTGATGGAGTGTCAGGTGGATTGTAGGTCTGTTATAAGGTCTATAGATCAAAGATATCATGGATCTCTGTTGAAGAATAGATCTTCCTCATCGGACAATTGCAATATATGTATGTATATATTAATTTTTATAAAAAACTATCAGAAAAATGTCAAAAGTTTGACAAAACAACAGAAAATATGGAAATTAAATTAAATATTAATTAAAATAAATTAAAACAATCATGATGTGAGGGAACCAACCGCCGAGACCTTGGAGATTCCTGTCCGTTAACATTCCCGGAAATCCTCACACGATTTAAAAACCATAATTCTGTATTTTATAATCATTTGGAATGACAGGTTCGGTAAAAATACGTTTCGACTCTTTTTACTAACAGAATTACAAAATGGTTTCCACGAATAAGATAATTGGCGCCCCGGAAATGTACGATTTGGGCCCTTGCCTCGACCGATACGAGCCCACGCCGGCCGCCTGTCGGTGTCACTATCGTCCAGCCGTGGGGCAAGTGCCTTCACCGAACATCCGAGCGCCGATCAAGAATTCACGAAGGAAAATGATTAAGAAAATGAATGGAGAACTGAATGAGAATTGTCTCACGGATAAGCAGCGTTGGTTTCTGATCAATCAAAGTATTATCTTTGCTCTGGGCAAGATCCTCGGACGCCCGGCGGACGTGGTCTCTGAGTTTCTGTACTCCCTGACGCTGCAGAACTTTAGCAAGGTCCTCAATCCGGTGGGGCATCCCTGGAGTACGTGTCACGTGCCGCTGTCGAACTATGACACGTGCGATTACTACATGGGGATATTTGATAGCCAGGGGAACCTTCGGAACCCCTACCATCCCGAGTCCCTCAAGAAACTCATCCAAGTAATGCAATCCGTATTGAGAGAACGACCAGATGCGGATAATGGGGCACACGACGCGCTCTTTGGAGATGTAATCATGAGACGAAGACGTGGGAAAAACAGGGCAAAACGCGCCGGCATCGGTCCGGAGAGTGCTGCCCAGGACAGGGGCCAACGGAGGATCCAGGAATCGAATGAAAGAGCCCAGGAGTTGGCCCGAAATCTCAACAGAATTGGCACACATTGCGATTGGCATGAACACCGGGAGCGCAAACCCCCAGAGTATGGAATTCCCTGTTTTGGAACACCCTTTGGCCCCCCAAATGCCTTTGGACCGGGCGCTGGGATCCTAACGCCCGACAGGGGCGACCCTTTTGGACTAAAGGGCTCGCCGTGGGGCAGAGGAGGACTCAACGGAGGAGCCTTTGGGGCCGGAAGAAGGCTGTCCGAATCTTTTAGTATCTCCTTCGATGAAACTCTTTTCAAGGGACCCGACGGCCAGGTATTACAAGCCGATCAGGATGGTAGCGGAAGAGGATTTAGTAGGGACAGAAGACCAGGATCCTCTCCTCGCGGCAAAGAGCTTTCCTCTCTGATCGATGGCGTGAATAAAAAGACAAAGCTCACCAAGGACCTTGGCACTCTGATAGATGCAGTGACAGGTCTCGACGTGGAACCGAAACAACAGAAAGATATTACCAAAAGCAAGCACCTGCAGCGTCGCTTATCGGATGAGTACAACGAGATTACGAATCCATCAAACAAGGACCTCGAACAGGACCTCGAGAAGGGAAAGGGAAAAGCTAAGGAAAGCAAGAAAGAGGGCAAAGATAAAGCCAATGGCCAGCAGAAGAATGGAAAAGGAAAACAGAAGGAAAGCTTCTCCAAAGAGGGAAAAGATGCAGCCGATGGCTACTCGAAGGATGGAAAAGGGGCAGCCGATGGTTACTCGAAGGATGGAAAAGGGGCAGCCGATGGTTACTCGAAGGATGGAAAAGGGGCAGCCGATGGTTACTCGAAGGATGGAAAAGGTAAAACCGATGGCTACTCCAAGGATGGAAAAGGTAAAACCGATGGCTACTCCAAGGATGGAAAAGTTAAAACCGATGGCTACTCCAAGGATGGAAAAGGTAAAACCGATGCTTACCAGAAAGATGGAAAAGAAGCAACCGGTGCCCACCAGAAAGATGGAAAAGGTAAAACCGATGCTTACCAGAAAGATGGAAAAGGAGCAACCGGTGCCCACCAGAAAGATGGAAAAGGTCCAGCCGATGCTAGCCAGAAAGAAGGAAAAGGAGCAACCGGTGCCTACCAGAAAGATGGTAAAGGTGCAGCCGATGCTAGCCAGAAAGAAGGAAAAGATGAGTATAACGATATTACGAATCCATCGAACAAGGACAAGGATAACCTTCCAAAAGGGGAGAAAGTGGAAAAAGGTCAAGCAAAAGGACGGCAGAAATACGGCAGTCAGGATAAGAGTAAATCGGCTAAAGATAAAGCCATTGCCAAAGGAGAATTCGGTAATCCGGCGTACCCCGAACAAACGGACAAAAACGTAGATAAAGTGCAAACGAAAGCCCACTTTTCATCTGAAATTAGAGCATCTGAGAGCAAATCCATTGGCCATCAGAGAAAATCACAGGACTACAAACGGAAAACCCCATGGCCCGACCGCGATAATTTGGACGAATACTCTTCGTCTGACTTTAAGGAAAAGGTTAAAGCGAAAAAACCAAAGACCGATGAAGGAGGTGCCTCAAAGTCCAGTAAAGCTGCCACAAAGGCCAAAGAGGCGGCCGCAAAGATGCCACAAATTATCAAGAAAAAACCAGGAAAATCCGGCAAAAGATATTACTACGGAGAACCAATACCCGTCCTAGTGCACGAACCCTTTGACAAAAGCAAATCCTGGACATGGCTGAGGCGCCACCCGAAGCCGAAAAGAATCGGTCCCGGTGGCAATGTCGCCACATCCGGCAACATCCATCGCTACCGCCGCAGTTCCGTGGAGAAGCAGATGGCCGCCGCCAAGGCCCGGGTCTCCGTGCACTCGACGTATTCCACTTACAGCGACACGTCGTACGGTACCCTGCCAATGTTCGGGACGAGTGTCTCCAATAGGAGCTCGAATGCAAAACCGAAACTTAAAGGACATTCGAAATGAAAGAAGTCCGCATTCAAGTCCGTATTAGATTTGCAGAGAATATTGATATTTTTGACACGATTGTTGACCATTTTGTACATCTGTCAGTGAAACATATAAAAATTATTAAATTAATATTAAATTTTGAAAAAATTTTGTGAGTTTTAAAGCCAGGATTTTATTACTAATTATTATTATAATTATTATTTTACGGTCTAACTGATTTCAAAAATCATTGGGATGGAATAATTATTATAGATAGAATGCCGAAAAAATATTTCCCTGAGAGACTGCCATTTTCTTTTAGTTTATCAAACGATTGATTATAATCAATAATTATATTAACTTTAATTATTTTTCTTTAAATTATCGCTTTCCTATAATATACATAAGTATATGGCATTGAAAGGAAATTCTTGAAAAAAATTAAATTTATTAAAAAAACTTAGTTCAATTAATTTTTAATTTAAATTTAATTAATTTATTTATTTTAATTTTTAATTTTAATTAATTTTAATTAATTAAAAATTGTACTGATAAAATATCTCTTACATTTTTTTTTTAAGTTTATATTTAAATTCTAAGATTTTTTTACATACTATTTGCGTATTTTTTTGCATTTATTACATATTGTGGTGTCTATATTTTGTATAATCTAAAGGATACTCTAATTTACGTAAGAAAATTATGTATCTGTGAGATACGTATACGTATCTTTAGCGTTTTTTGGTATTTGAGAGGTCTTGGATTTTGGTTTTTGATCTGTTTCCTATATTTTAGTATCCCATATATACTTTCAGATCTTAAAATATTTATACACATAAATCTATGCGATTGCATTTCCAAAATTTCTACAGCCATCGCCCTATTTTGTAACTCTAAAACCTTTTCCAAGCGATATTTTTGAGTGCAACAAATGCATCCACAACGTTTTCTGTGGTTCTATCTCTCGTGTTTCCATTAAACCAATTAATCAAATCTCATAATTCACGAAATGGAAAAGCCCGGCCATAAATATGTATTTCCATAAACAACAGATCACACAATTTTTAAAAGAATATTCCAAAAAGTGAGAAAAAAACCCTAAGGGCTTACATTCGGAACACACAAAATGGAGCAAAAAAAAAGGCACACTATAAACTTTTGTTGGGCTTTAAATTTGTAATAAAAATGCATTTACACCTAAAAAAAAAAGCGGAAAAAGCTCATGGAAAAGCGGATAAAAATATAGAATAGAACTGGGGAAAAACAAAAGGCAATCCAACACTAATAATTCGCTTTTATTGAGTGTTTCTGGTGCAATAAAAAACATTTTTCGGTTGAGGATTTCCCTGCCTTTTGGTTGCTGCTGCCGCTGCCGCTGCGGGTCGTAAAAGATTTTTTCGTAAAGATTTTATTGACCAGCAATGCAGGCAGCCCCCCTCCAAAAGATCATGCAACGAACGGGTTGCACCGCAACGAAGAGGGAGGCCTCCTATTAAAGAAACTTAACGAGCCAACAAATTACTACACGTCATAAAAATCAAATCACAAAAATATACACAAAACACGCGGTGCTCGGGGCTCGGGGCTCTGTGGTTTGTGCTAAAAATATAAACACCGATGACTCGATGACTCCCCCAAAAAAAAAAGGGAGGCGACACGGCATGTCATTATCAAAATGATTTAAAAGCACAGTTGCGGTGGCATTTAAGGGGATTTCCCAGGGACGGCAGGCACCGAAAAGGGGTATTGGAGGTCACAGAGCAGGAGGAAAAAATAGTATAAAATATATGCCACACTGGGAGAGAGCCAGGAAGGGTAAGCCCCGCTGGGAGAGAGCGAAGCTAAGCCACGCTGGGAGAGAGCGAGCAGGGTAAGAAAGAGTGGTACAGAGATCTTTGGATATTTAAATATTTTAATTATAAAATAAATACATAAAAATCCCTAGATATCCCTAGATCCTTAGATCTTTGTATCTATCTATCTGTATCCATTCTATCTATGTATCTTTTGAGGCTAAGCTCTAGAAATGCGACAACCAATAAACAGGATCATAAAACACCAGGAAACCAGCCACTACCGACTCCTTTATCGTTGAAAAGTCACCAGGGACTGCACCATCCTTTCAGAAATGTCTAGCTATTCCTAGCATGCTTTCTCCTGTCAAAAGTGAACTCTGTGCCACACCCACATCCTTTCAGCGAGTCGCTCCATCCAGCGCCAGCGTCAAATGTGAACGAGTATGTCGCCTGTCAGCCACTGACATCATAATAGTGTCATTGTCATCAGCCAGAAAGGACTGTGCAACCAATGCAACATACAGCAGTACTCAACTGCCGCCAAAAGGAAGAAAAACGCAGCCGAAAAACAGAGGCTCATAAATCAAAAAGAGCGAGAACCAAACAAAAACAATTAGAAAATGTTTGGGCAAAAACTAAACGCAGATCCAGAGATTCAGCAGGAGGATATATGCCCCATATGCCAGGCATAAATAAACGATGATGCATGCAACCAACGAGAGAGAGAAAGGACACGCAAGGACAACGACAACGACAACGACAACATTTCATCAACGCCAAACGAGCGAAACGTTTATCAACTGCTCAAAAGGCCATTAAACGTGTGTGTGTTGCAACATCAACGCCCCCCAGGGCAGTAGGGGCTACCACCAGGACGCAGGACACCACAGAGCAGCAGAAGCAGGACGAGAACGAGGACGAGGACTATCTGGCAGGACATTCATCAAACGATAAATTGAGTGAATGACTTCATGATGGCGCTGCAAAAGGGGCGCACTTCCCGTCACTTCCGCTCAGACAGACACATGGAGATGTTGCACGCCACGCCCACTCGCACAGTGCCACCCATTTCGGTGAGTGACTGTCGGACTTAAATTGCCATCACATCCTCGAACGTCCGGCGTCCGGCGTCCAGGCGCTTGGCAATTGTTTCTCTCCCACGATTGGAGCTCCTTCGTGTGCCTCCCTTTTGGCCGGCTCTTTTTGGCTGATTTTCGCCTGCACTTTTGCACATCCTTTTGTCTTCAGTCCTTGTGCAGCAGCCACGTCCTGGCCAGCCTTGTGGCAACATTCGTCCATCTATCCGTTCGGCCGTTCGTCTGCTCGTCCGTTCATCCTTGGGCCACATTCATCATTGGCCGCTTGACGTGACGTTAGTGTTTTAATGGACTCCCCACTTGTCTGCTTTGATCACTGGTAGAGGACCCACACATCCTTCAGCCGGTGCTGCTGCTGCATTGTTTGTCTACGTGTACAGAGTGTGGGGGGTTTTTTATGGCTCACCGAGAGTCATTTGCATCTTTATTTGGTGTCCAAGGCGCCAGGGCAAAAACGATTGTGGGAAAGTGCATTGAAGTGGAGGAAAACGGAAATATTGGCAACAAACTTGCAGTGGAATCCTTTCATTTAATGAGCTTATATTCCATCAACACATCATTCGCGACTTCCGTGACATTAAACCAGGCGAGACGAGTCGCCGCATTCGATTTTAATCGCTGCTAATATAAACTAATTGGCATACTTAGCCGTCCCTCTCCCCCCGCACTATTGGAGGCTATAAGGCCGTAAGCAGGCTGTATGCATGGCATCTTCCCATCAACGACAACACACGGCCTGAAAATTATCTAATGAATTTTCACTTAATCCAAATCAAAATGTGCCGCACATCTCTTGCATCTCTTGGATCTCTGGCATCCGTTTGCATCTGTTGGTAGGCATCTTTTGCTGCTGCTGTTGTTGTGTCGTTGGCTGTCATAATCCGATCAGCCAGGCGGCACAGGCGAACATGGCCCCGTCCCAGAGGGGTCCCCAGAAGAGGCTGGCAGCCACATGGAGCAACAACATCAGACGATGACTCTCTGTGGCTGTTGGCACCCAAAAGATATGATCTGTGGCGATCTCCTCCGAGATGCTGGGATGCTCTCTCCTTCTCGTGTCTTCTGTCTTCTTGTTGATATTCATTTAATTTCTTGCTTATAATTCGCATGACAGATATTCAGGCATAATTAGAGATTAATTGTTCTATTCATAATTGGTCTTGAGTTGAGATTTCTGCGGACACGACGAAAATTACAGTCAAGGTGTGGGGTGACTGGGGTGAACCCAACTGTCAGAGGGCCCTCGCCGAATGACAGCAACAGTTGCCTATTACGAATCATATTTAATATGATACGAGTTGTTGGAATTAGTGGCAGAAATAGTCAGGAGAAGCTACAGAGGAGCTAGAATGAAGTGGGCCTCATTGAAAACTTTGAGGAAGTTCCATCTTTCAGGGAAAGATGCAAAATTATGGCATATAAAGTTGGATGAATGAAGCAGAAGATACAGGAAATATTTGCATTTGTGCCTCCACAAAAACGTTCGGGTTTTCGTTGAAATTTTTAAAGGAACTTCCAAACTTGTATCTGGAGATCATTTCTGAAGAAGTATCTACAAGGAACAACGCTTATTCTACCTCGACAGAAACGTTCGCGGTTTTCACTTAAATGTTTAAAGGAACTTCTAAACTTGTATCTAGAGATCCCGAATTCCGCTTTATTTTAACAGTATGAGCATTTCTGAAGGAGTATCTATAGGAAAGAACGCTTATTGTGCCTCGAAAAAAACGTTATTTCTTCAATTTCCACTGGAACTCCAAAAGTTTCTTCTAGGAAGACTTTCTACGAACATTTCCAGCAGTTCTAAGCATTTTTTATTGGAAAAGTTGTCTTCAAAGCATATTTTGCGACTCGACTCGTTTTATATATTATTTCTAATTTCTAATGGAACATATAGACTTTCTTCTAGAGATGATCCCAAAAATTGCTTTCTTCAATCTGCAAGCCTTTTATCTATAAAAAGATATTTTTAAAGCATTTTTGTGCCTCGAAAGAAACGTTTTTTTCTTCAATTACGAATGGAATTGTTACACTTTTGGCTGAGATTTTTCTTCAAAAATATAAAGCCCGAACTCGAAAAGTTTCTTCTAAAGAACACCCCAAAACTACTTCTTTAAACATTTCAAGCATTTTTAAAGATCTTTTCTCAAAGAAATAAGCTGCAAAGTGTTTCTGTGCCTCGACAAAAAAGGTTTCGAATGTATGAGCTTCAATTTTGAATAAAACCTAA